TGACTCTCAAAATAGTGCAGCTCAACCAAAAGAGCTGAAGCATACCAGACTGCTAGTTTAGCCTGCGGGGTGTCCGGGTACTTTCAGATTGTACAATCGGACAAAGGTGAAAGTTGAAGCCCATTCCACTGCCACACATGGAAATACCGCTGGACCATGCCCACGATGAGGCCATGCCTTTAGTGGAATGAGCCCTGATGCCCAGGGGGCATGGCAGGTTTTTTGACGCATAAGCAGAGGCAATAGCGTCTACTATCCATCTGGATAGTGTTTGTTTCGAGGCGGCCAGACCCTTTAGTGCGCCCACCGAACGAAACGAAAAGCTGGTCTGAACGCGGCAGCGCCTGTAATGTACAATCTCAAAGCCCGAACCGGACAAAGGAGATTGCCGTCACATTCGCTATCGGATGCGGGCAGAGCCAATAGGGAAATAACCAGTGCTCTGGACGGGATACCAATCGCTTTGGGGACATAGCCATGTCTAGGTTTGAGGACGAGTAGTCATTGGGTCCAAACCCAAGACACGACGAAAATGAAAAATGTATCATGGCTCAATCATTCTTTATGAGGCCTTTTATGAATGATTTTTTTTTACCGTTTTCCCCCTGTCCCTAAGCCAGACTTTGTACCTTCAACCTCGCTTAATTCTAAATTAAATATTTAAATAATGTAGATTTTAAGTACAAATTATAAAATAATGTCTATTTCAATTATACATATTATATATTGCAATATTTATTAACATTTTCTTATATTTGTCTTTCTTGGGGACAAGAAAATAACGGCCGTAAAACCCCGACTCGATCATAGAAGGCGGAACTTTCTCTATAGCCTTTTTGTGCAGGATGGCTATATCGCCTTGATTGCTGCACATAGCGGGCTGAATAGTGTGTGAACGCGCTTAGAATGTTTGTGGCACTTACACCCAGAGAAGAGTTTATGGGCTGTGTAACAGAGTGGGTAGAGGGGGCGCGCACATGCACACTCAAGCGGGAAGGGACCGCTCTATGGGGGTGGGCTGTGAGAGATACACGGGGCATGTGGTGCTTATGTATGGGTGAACACAGGATTGTGGGCACATAAGAGGCTTTAATGCTCTTTTTGAGATTTCTCTGAGTTGCCTTGAAAACGGCGTTTAGACGCGCGCAAGGGGAAAGAGAGACCGGCTTGTTTATAGCGGTGAACACTGCTAAAGTAGCCAGATGAGCGGGGACTGACAGCGGGCGTGAACGGCCTGCAGAAGAGCTAGCGCGGCGGGGCAGAAACAGATTAATGGCCTGGAAGGCTTTCTGAAATTCGGAAAACCAGTCAACGATACCCGTAACAGCAGATCCGAAGAGGCCGGTTGGAGAAAGCGGCGCGCTCAGTATGTCGGCGAGCGTGAGCCACAGATGTCTCTCAGACACGCTAAGGGCGGCCATGATTCTCCCCAGGGCTTGAGCGGTCGATTTAGTGGCGCGAAGGGCGAGATCCGTAGAGCTCATTAAATCCATAACAGAGAGAGGGTCTTTTTCGCTCTCGCGGAAAGGCTCTGCCGGGATGAACGCTTCCATAGGGTGCTCCGGTCACCTCTGGGAGCGGAGTTTCTTCTTCCGCGGCGAGGTGAGAGGCGGCACGGATGCAGTTTTGACGGCCTGAAGTCGAGCCCGCAAGGTGGAGAACAGTCTTCGCAGAGGTCGCTTCCTCCGTCCAAATAAGCGTAAAAAAATACAGTTTTCGGATAGTGCTATCTTGCAGGACGGCTGAAGGTGGCGAAGACGGCCAGTTTCCTCCGCTCCAGATGCTCGCTAAACATGCCTTCTCTCGACGACGGCATCGCTTCTCAAGACAGCGGATGTAGGTATTATGCTTTTTTTTTAAATTAAACAGGGAGAAAGCTCGCAAATATATACACTCGAGTCAGTCACACCTATTTTGGCGGGCTTTGACGCAATGAGAACGTGTCAGCTTACAAGGGTCCCCTGGGATCCCTGCCCCCGGGACTCATTTAGTGGATGCTTAGCGTGTGTTCCCGTAGCGTAAGCTAGTTTACGCAATACGAGAGAACCTCTCGTAAGAAAACGAATCGGTTACCTACGTAACCTCGGTTCTCTCTAGATGAGGGAACGACTATTGCGTTCCCGGCCGTGCTTGCGCTTCTAGCGTTCCCGCTGCTAGCGTTCTCGCTTCTTTCTTTAATGAAAACCTGTTAGCTCGCAAATATATACACTCGAGCCACGCCCATTTTAATGGGCTTTGACGCATTGAGAGCGTGTCAGCTTCTCATTGGCCGCGAGTTCAGAATTTCTCCCTGAGCGAACCAATGAACTGCTAGCTAGCCCGTTCATGGTCTGCTGCAGTTGAACTGCGTTGACAATGGATACAAATTTTTGGCTTCAACTTCTCAGAAAATATGAATCTTTCCAAGAGAACCACGTATTAATGGGCTATATGCACGCATAAGTTCCGCATTTGACGTAAGGATGCTCGTCCATTTCCGGTTGTGTAGATTAAAGCGGAGGAAAACCGGAGAAAACGGGATTATGGCAGAGTCTTCAATATTTACTGTCCTCCCGTCTTTGAAACGAAACGTACATACGTTTAGATGTAATTTTATATATAGTTATGTTTATTTAATATAATTTTAAAAAGAAGCATAAACACAACGAGGGGTGTCTGTTTTATCTGTTTTTGTGACTAACGTTTCTTTAGTATAACCATGGAGTATAAAATTCAATATAAATTCTCGGTATTGCATTGGACTCTATGATCGGCGGAAGTTATCGAGCATCCTTAATCCTTCACCGGAAATAACGCCGTGCATAGAGCCCATATAGAACGTATTAATATATATATTAGTGATTCAACTGACTTGGAACAACCTTTGCATTAAACGGCTTTATTGCACGGCGAAAACCTTCCAGGCAATCAGAATCGAGTATTCAGACCATGGTATAAAATAAAATATATTTCATTTATTTATTTAATTTAATAAAACAACTCAAACTAAAAAAAGAATGGGCTATACTATTAATAAGGTAACCTCCTGTCTCTTTTTTGGTCCCAGTATATTTTGCTGCTCTCATTTTGTCTTTGAGCCAGCAGATGACCAGTGATCGTATACATCTTTACCCCACAGCCAATGAAACACTCTGGTTAGTTTGTCACGCTTAACATAATGTCCTTAAAACATATTGAAACAATCACCACATCATTATTTAAGTGGAATTCATTTATCATACTTCATTAAATCGCATTCAGTGATTGTTGTTTAGGCCCCCAGGGTCAGAGCATCAGATTCTACAGCCCTGGATCGTGGTAAACCTGGTCATAGCTCTTCTGGTTGGACTGGCCTGGGTGTTTGTTGCTACACGACCAGACATGGACTACACTGAAGGTAATAAACCTATTTGAGTGTGTGTGTGTGTGTATCCTCTTCATGTGTCTATTGACACTGATCTTATTCCCCTATTGTCCAATTCCTAACATATGTCCTAATATCTGTCTTTACTCTCAGAGTTTTTAATGGCAATGGAGGTGGAGGAGTATCCACGTCACGATGACAAAACTGAGCTGGCAGCCTGACACACTGACACATGACTTACTTTATCAACAATCAGAAATGAACATTGACCATTGTTTTGGCTTTACTTTATTAAGCTTGTTATATAGATAATAACCGTGTAAACATATAAATAAACTTTTTACTTAAGTTTCTGGTTTCAATTTGTTTTGGGTCTTATAACTTTATATTTGAAATGTAATTTATCACTATTTTAATCACCTTTTAGCTTTTTCCCTCCACACAAATTCCATGTCTGCAAAAAGTATGCATATGCTTTATGTTTAATACTTATTATACAACAATTTGAATTTACTGGAAGTATTGCACTGCATAGGTATACAAGTTGTTAGTCGATTTGAATAGAAGTAGATAAAGTGACCCTGATGTCACCACTTGATATTTACTCAACACATTACAAAACAGAATTTTAATACAGTTATTTTTAACTAGTGATGGAAGAAGTCAAGAGAATTCCTGATGACAACTGTGGCGTTACATCAACACAGGGGGCGCAATTTCCTAAGGAATGTGAGAGAAAAGTGCAAAATAAAGGATTCAAAAGAAGGTTTTTACAGCGATGTCATAGAACTATTTTGGGCTCCCCGAAGAACCTTTCAGTGAACACTTCTTAAAAGAACCGTGTGTGTGTGTGTGTGTGTGTGTGTGTGTGTGTGTGTGTGTGTGTGTGAAGAACAATTTAATATAAATATAAATAATATTTTCCATAAATAACCTTTTAGTGCAATGTAAATGTCCATGTATGTTAAATATGCCTCATGGAATCATATGCCAATAAAGAACCTTTATTTTTAAGAGTGTAGGCACATTTCATTCAGTTGATGAAGTGTAATGCGTTCTTACAGGTAGCCTATTCTCATTATGCGTGATAAGTCATTTTAAACAAGAAACGTTAGGCTATAGTTGTCAAACTTGGCATTGTTTCAACCAAAAATGAAAATCCTGAAAATTCTTCAAAATATCTTGTGTTCAGCAGAACTTTGGGTGATCTATCCATTTAAATAAAAATAGTAAAACAAGAAAAATGCTTAGTACAGATTTGTTTAGCTGTTTTCAGCTTATGAATAAATTAAAGATATCATTTTGAAAAAAAAATGTACGAATAACATAAAAAAAAACATTGTTATCATATGATAATATCATGCCAGATCGTTGGTTAATTTAGCTATGTAAATATTGTGACACTCATAAATGTCCATAGGCCTATGTTTTCTCGCATTTGTATGTAAATAAGATAGTTATTGAGCATGCTATGCTATTATATCAAAAAAATATGATTATATTATCATATATATCAAATCATTCTTAGATGGTCTTAGAGGTTAATTTAGCCATCAAATTGATTGCTAAATAGCACTAGGACAAACTCTTCACCATAGTAGGATTCGGAAACGCGGTTCCCCGCTTTTCCCAAAACTCAGCGGGAGGCGAAGCCGCTGCACTTCCTGTCGCTAGTAGTGGAGCTGTGCGGGCGGGCGCGCGCTTGGAGTGAGTGAGAGAGATGTAAAGATGGCGGAGCTGCAGATGCTGCTGGAAGAGGAAATTCCAGCGGGTCGCAGAGCGTTACTGGACAGTTTCACCAACCTCGACAGAGTTGCCGAATACTGTGAAAGTAATTACGTACAGGTGAGTGGGCGAAGCGTTGCGTAGGAATGCTGATACGCGCTGTTTTTGGAGTTGATGTTTGCTGAAGTGTCTGCGGTGGCTGTTGGTCATCTGTTGAAGCTGGGCACCAACTAATATGCGTACACGCGACTGCGGCTTCTCCTGGTTGAGAAATACCGTAAAAGTTTACAGCACTCGTAGCTGAGGCTGTAAACCAAGCGAGTGCTACTTTTGCAAGAGATGCTCTCAGGTTTGCAGTGATTGCGGTGTGTTGGTAGAAATGATTACATGATGATCTGACGCACTGGAAAAAAAAACTTTGTTCTGTTTCTACGCGAGTAAAATGCTGACAATTACGTTACAGTTCTAAACAACTCAAATTGAGTTTGTCACCTAACGTTACATTTATATTTAGCTTAATAGATAGATGACACTTGATGCTAGTCATCATGATCATAGCGTCAGGACAAACAAGTGGTGGAGGAATCTGACAGACTGCTAGATGCTTAACGTTACTGGATGGTTTCATACTGATGTGATTGATGGCATAAGTTTCTTTAATTTTGATTTCTAAAATAAATAAATAAATAAATAAATAAAAAGTCAGCGTCAAGCGTCAATGAGTAATTACCCCAGGGATTTGAATTGTGCTTGAACACAGTTGATAAATTCTTGAGATTCTTATTATTAATGGGCACATTATCATACCTGGATCGTTGCATAAATGTTGCTGTAACAATGTCATTGACGTAGTGTCATGTTTTAGGACAGTGCTGCATAGGGTCAGTTTTGGTCGTCGTCGACCATTATGGATTTATTTTTGAGGGGGCATATTTCAGCATGGTTACCGATGGCTGATCTAAAGCTGAACTCTACATCACAGTATTTCCTTTAAAACTTGTAGATAACAAACACATGCTGCTTTTTTATTTTGTTTTACGTAACATTTACTAAATTAGCCAACTAATTTGAAAATCAATCAATGTGAACAAATGTTAACCTAATAAAAATAAACGTGTAAAATAAACAGCTACTTAATGTCAACCGCGATTTTGATTTTATTATAGTATTTTTCAGAAAGTTAGAAATGGTTAAAAACATATTTAAAAATGAGTAACAACAGTGAACTCATAGACTGGCTAGTCTGTGTGCACTGAACATCATATTTTCTCAAATAGAGAATAGGTAACCCTGAAAATATTAGGGGAAAATGTCATATACCTAGCCACTGAAGTGAAGAAAAAAAGTCATATTTATAAATGAATATTGTCCTTACGCTTTTATCTGCATTATTTCTTTTTTTTAAATTACTTTGTGTGAGTGTAATACCTTGATAAAATTGCATGTAATCAGTTTTTTTGTTTTGTTTTGTTTTTTGCTTGGGGAAGTAGGTTTGCTTATTTTTCACTGTTCAAATGGGAGAGAAGTATTGTAAAATCATAAGACTTCCAGATGGATGCTAGTCTAGTGTTCAAAATGTTTCATCTTTTCTTCATCTACAATACATTCCTGAAGCTGTTTGCCACTTTTGCTTGATAATCTAAAGCAGTTAGCAGTTGTGATTCTCCTGTTACATCACTAAGCAGTTCATGGCAATATTTTCTTAGTAGCGAGGCCCAGTTTTAAATATTTAGATTGTTGGCTTTTAGAACAGAGACGTGAATAAAACGAGGGTTGTGTTCCTGGAGGCTGTTTTAATTGACCCTCTGTTGTATTTTCCATTTTACTTTCTGATCTTATAAACTAACTATGCTTTTGGATATTATAGACTCTCCCACTAACGCCAGGAGAGCCGTGATTGGGTTAAAGTTACTTAGTCAGGGGTAGTAGTAGGCTGTTGATTAACAAAATGCTGAAATATAAAGTATGTCAGTGAGCCTCCGTCTTGTCTTTAATCTTCTTATTTTACGTTAAAATATATGCATTATGACCAAAGAACCGTCAATATTTCCAAGCAATAGGTGTTTTTGTTAATCATGTTGACATTTAGTTGTGAATGGGTCTCCCACACTGCTTAATTACACCCATCATTTCTCCCCTTGGCTTTTAGATGTTCGGGAAGGAAAACAATTCCACTCCACCGTCCAAACTTTTAGGATACCAGGCATCAGATTTGCACAATCCATGCGCATAATGCTTCAGCATGTTTCCCTCGCTCGAAAGCTTGCCAGACCTCCCGCGCCTAGTTACGGTTGCTAAGACACGATTGGCCAGTGGCGGTTTTTGGGTGTGGCTTAGCGAAGGGTCAATTCCGTGCGTCCACAGTCCACAAACAAAACACATTTGAGACTGAGACTAGTTCCACTAACTGATTTCAGTAGTTTGTTGTTAGCATGTTGCTAAGCTAACAATCCTCCTCACACGACCTGTGTAGCAGTCGATTCTGTTCCCTACCGGAATTCCTGTTCCCTTTACGCAATCATACTACAAATCAAGCATGCCTAGTTGCCCAGTTACCATACGTACCATCAGAACTGAATGTATGGGAAGTCATAAGGTTAAAAAAGATTGTGTTTTTTTCCTGAAATCTAAGAGTTTTTTGTTGTTGTTGTTGTTTTTATTAGAAGCAGGTTTTCCCCATCTGTCAATTTAGTACAGATTATTTCTTTTCCAATTTTTCCCTTTCTTCAAGTCAGAGCAACTGCACCTCAAAATTCCTGTCCACGTCCCTGTGCAGCAGTGGTGTCTTTGAATTTGGCTAAACAAAGCAACATGATATACCTACCTTTGGTAACAGCCTTCATGTTTGGTGTAATCATAATGCTTCCTATTAGAACAGGCAACAAGTCACTTTTTTATTTGTGTGATCTTCCCCTTGGTTTCAAATGCGTATTTTATGCCATGTTCATGTAGTCATATTACAAAAATATATCCATGACTTAAAGTTTAGAGTGAAGTAAATGGAAATTGAACTTAAACATTGAACATGCGCCTTTGTAACGAGTGTTACTCTCTTAGCTTTCAGAACCTTTCAGTTACCTTTAAGAATAGTTTGCATTTTGAAAGAGCCCATGATGCCTTAAAATGCTGTCATAGGTTTTTGCTAGAGAGAGAAGGATAGGAGTCAAAAGGAGTCTGGGTTACATGCTTGTAGAGATTATTAGCTTTGTTAATTAACGGGATGTCAGATTGTTTGGCTACTTCACATCATTTGCTTATCTTTATTAGACACATCATGCTTGATTCTGGGCCTGCATGTCTGGGAACATCAGCCGTTGGCTGAAGTGTGAAGTTTCAGAACTTGGATCATCAGAGAAAGATAAAAGGCCTGTGGGCAAATTTTTATGTATTTGAGTTATTTGTGGTGGGGTGTCTTATTCATTCCAGGTTGTTCCAGCTTGTTTCGATTATCTCTTGCGATATTAAGAGTCCCTTTTTTTATTGGATCATGTTTCTTTGTATGATGTGAGATGGCTCAGTGGTCCACTCTGAATCCTAATGAAATCTTGGAAGGTGGGGACGCCCTTCCAAAATGTTTGTTTTAATGGCAGCCATGGAGATAATGTAACACACTTTTCTATGGGTTTCTTTTCCAAGTTGAGAAGGCGCTTGAAAAATAGCATTTTTTTATATATATATTCCCCTAAGGAGAAGGTTTAGCAAATGACAGAATTCATTTATTTGGAGAAAATCATTTAGATATAGGTTTGATTCATTGGGCTAAAGAGCACAGTGCTTCAACACCGCATTCTTGAGTCTTTCACAGTATATTAAAGGAGTAGCCTTCACTTAAAAAAAAAAAAAAAAATTGCTGGTATTTTACTTACCCCCATGTTATCCAAGATGTCAATGTCTTTCTTTCTTCAGTCGAAAAGAAATTTAGGTTTTTTGATGAAAACATTTTCTCCATATAATAGACTTCACTGGGCACCAAAAGGTCCAAATGAGAGTTTCAGTGCAGCTTCAAAGGGCTTTGAACGACACCAGACGATGAATAAGGGTCTTATCTAGCGAAACAATCGGCCATTTAAAAAATAAATAATAAACGTTTTATAAGCTTAAATCTTTCTGTGATGCGCGTTTGTGTCTCTCCTGTTCGAACTCGTTTATTAAAATGAACAAATCTTTTTTTCTGAGTCATTTTTTTACCTCCTGTGATCGACAATCGGTGATCGGAGCACCCTAGAGATCTAGAGGGGATTGACAAGTTAAAACTGTCTGTAATGAACCCCTGGGTTCATCTTCTTTGAGTGTGTGTGACTGATTTGTTATTATTCAAAGAATGGGTTTGTTGAAATGCACTGGCTGTACTCTGTACTCTGACCAGGACATTATCCCAAAGGATAGTTTATCAAGTCGATGTCAGTATGAGTCTTCTTCGTGAAGTATGCTTCTCCTTTTATGGACAGGATGGCAGTTGGTTTCTTTCATCTCCTGGCACCCTGCAGGACTCTTTTTTTTTTTGTTAGGAAAAACTCCAAGACTTCTTACTGGAGAACAGTTATTTGCTTGTTGCTCTGCCTACTTTCTTCTCCTTGTATTGTTTGTGTGTGTCTGTGTGTGCTGTTGGGGGCCAGAGTGTATCAAATCAGTCCATATGCTACGTAAGGGATAATATTCATCCGATCATTAAAGAGGATATGCATTGATGTCGCTTTTCCGCCAGGACATGCCCCTCAGCTGGACTGAGTGGCAAAAGAGCTGTTGCATGACTGGATTTAATAGGGAAATTTAAAACAAAGATTATCAGTTTAATCTAAAGGTTGTTAGTGTTGTATAGTGTTCCTTACAACTCAAGGTTCCAGACTGTGAAAAAGTCGAACTTTTTCCTGTTTTAGATGTGTTCTGTATGTTTTTCGCTGCATTCAAGCTGAAAGGTATTAAACAAAGGTGCTAAAATCAACAGATTTTAAATTACTAATAGACCTACCAATTGTCATTTTGACAACCCTCTATATATAATGGCCATATTTTCAGTGGCTACTTCTGGTTTCATGTCTCTGCTTTCCCATTAAATACATTTATTTGATCATTAGCCGTCAGAACATTTATACAGTATTAGTATTCATTTTTGAGACAAG